GCGTTGACCCTCTTCCTGAAGAAGACATTTGACCATGTCTGCTGACTACAGGCGCTGTGTTTAGTTGTCGTTGTTAAATTGTAAAATAACATAAAGTGTATCATTCCGAGATCCTCTTTAAAGAATCTTATTATCCGCCTTTCGTTTGGCTTTGTAACCGTATGAATCCAAAGCCTATGTTAGACCGTTAATAGCATTTCTAGTCATAGGCACGGCAAAGTCATTTGGTTTAAGAGAAATTTGAATTTGCCCGGCTTTGGTTTCCACTCTGTCCGTAGTGACTGTCCTCAAAAACGCGCATCATTTTGTTATTGATTTGTCTTGTATATGTTTCCGAACAGGCCAGTACAAAAGAACTGATAAAAAACTCCAGGGCAATTAATATTTCAATTAGCAAAATTGTTCCTCAGTTTCTGATACACCTAACTCTCGCTTCATACACACACACCTCGAATAAACTCACTGTTAAGCGCACCAACTCACGGGTCTTAGAGTGTGCGCAATATTAAGGGGAGTTGACTGTATCGGCATTGAGTAAGCCAAAATAAAACTTGGACGCTAAGCTGTATAAGTACATGGAGTAAAGAATTGCAATTTAATGGTACAGTGGAACCCCATTAATACCGTCACCAAATGGGCCAAAACAATTTGGCCGTATCAACGGGGTGGCCGTAGTAACAAGGTTTTTTTACAAGAAAATATATGGCGCTTTTTGCCAGGCGGCCAAAAAAAGGCCGTAGTAACGAGGTGACCGTATTACCAAGGTGGCCGTTTCACTGTATATAAGATTTACCGAATATCTTATGAATACATCGGCTATATGCTCAGTTTCAGACATGATGCTATTCTTCCCGCAAATGGATGTAATACAGTGTTCTTCATTAACCTGACACAAAGTCTGTTTAAAAGTTAATTTGCACATACTCGCTACAAGGTTGTTAGGGGCTTCTTTGACTTTCTAAATAATTGTCTTCTTTTTTATTGCAGATGAACTTCAGTTCATCAGTGTACATGAGCACGAAAGCAACAGTGGATTACATATAAGAGTCACTATCAACATTTTCTTTTACAGGCACATGGTGCCTTTGGTTGTTAGTATGATGACGATCTAGACTGAATAACTGAGATCCAGTGTGTTCTTAGAGTTTCGAACTGATCATATGATAATCTAGTCTCGTGAGTCAATAGTTCCTGTATGATCTTGCATCTACCTTAAGCACAACCTAAGATTGGGATTTCAGCCTTCAGATATGGAAGTCAGTCCGCTCTTAATTATATAATGATAATTGAAATTTTTTTTGTTCTAGGGTATGTATACCTTATTCAAAAATCTTAATTTAACGCGGGAACCTCAATAAAGGCAAGAAGTTGAAAATGAACCACTCAGGAGCTTGTTATTTGGGCGTTGCCCAAAAGTTGCAATAGGCATGCAATACGTGCAAACGTAAACAAGCCAAGAGACGCGACTGTCTGCCGCGCGATGTGTTACGAAAATAGCATTTGTTCTCGTTACAATAAGTCCCACAGCTAACGCACGGCAAAAAAATCGGCAATAGAAATCAATCGTATTGAAAAAACAAGGTACACCAAGTGAAACAAACTATTTAATAATTTAAATTTCCCCTTTGGAAAATAATTGTCCCCGCAGCACACGGCGTGAATATCTTTACCCCGGACCATAGGTACCGGTCATTACCCATTTTTATTGTACAGACCATTTATTGCCAGTAATGGCTTATTCCCAAGAGTTTGACAATATTGTTGCCCTCAGTTGTCGAAAAATCAAAAAACTGTTCGTCAGTCTATACACTAAACTCTCGCATCACGAACACCTAAGATAGTTTCAGACATGATGTCATTCTTCCCTTACCCTACTGGTTACCAGATTCTGAGGGAATCTTCGATGTCGGCGGAAGGTCGAAGCCACCAGTGGCGAAGCTTTTCGCGCACGTCACCATAAAGATTTGACAAAGACCGGAAACCGCGCAAGAAAAGTCTGTGGTACCCAGGGTATTCTTCCTTGGAATGGATAATACTACAGTGTCCTTCATTAATAATCTCATAAAATCTGTTAAAATTTGCTTTAAGGTAGTATACTTACTCGCTACAAGGTAGGTACGATAGATCATAATAGGTCCTATTATAATCTCTTGGTAGGTTACGGCTTTTTTGAGGCTATGTTCACACTATTCCGGATAGCATTTCGTGGGTGGTATGGTATAAAGAGCAAATGGCCCGGGGCGGCTGAAGTCGTTCACACACACCGAACATCGTGCCGGCGCGATTGGCCGAAAGGGTTTGTTGAACTAAATCCCAGTCCTCGAGCTTTCCACAAGTTGCTCGAAATTTCCTAAGAGGTTTCCCGTAATTTCTCAAAAAGTTGTGGAAAAGTTGCTCAACTAACGAAAACCTTTTTTTGCTGCTCTCTTCCTTTATTTAGTCTGATGTAAAAATACGTAAATTTTACAACAAAAGTAAGATTTCTCAGCATTTTTGTGCAATTTTGCAGCGTAGTCAGGAGCCCACAACCCACAATCAAAACCAAAAAATGTATGAGCAACGACTACGCATGAATATTGAAATTAATCTTGTAAAAATTCTAGTATGAACCAGTAAAATTGATTTCAGAATGACCTTCTTCACCTCACCTGAGACACTTGTGTCAGTCGAGTGAGAATCTTCGTCCGCCATTTTAAATTTTCTTTAAAAAAAACCGCTGATCTAGCAGCCTTGCTGCATGCATTTTGCGCTCATGAATCTGCCCCAGCGGGGTGCCGGAGGGGAGGGGTAGGATCTGGCTCCTTTTTTATAGAAATTTATAAATTGTCTACTAAAACATTGTGAGATATAGAAGCAAGGCCAATTTTTCAGAATTGGTAGAAAACGCGAGTAGAGAAAATTGCTCAGAATGCAAAAAGTTGCTCGAAATACGAAAAGTTGCCGAGCAACTTTTGGAAAGCCCTAACAAGTCCTCACTCCTGAATATTTTCTACCGTCTCAGTGGGTTCCAGTCCTCGGTCCTACTTATTTACTTCTGCGACGGGCCGAATAGGTGATCATACTGCACCAAAGTATGGCACAAAAACTATCCGTTATGTGACGCTCCACTTTCTAGATTGGCGCGTCGCAGCTTCGCGCCGTCATATTAATCGCCCCGCCACAACCCTTCTTGTGTGTGAACCATTTTATGAAGGTTAACACATGCCCAGATCGACTCAATAAGACACAAGGACACAAAATATAGCATAAGTGGGTTTATCTAATTTCTCCTCTCCTTAAATAAGGCGAATAATCTCAATTTTCCCTTCTTCCATATGGTTGTTATTAAAGGAGTCCTTATTTTACGTCAGTAGCTGGGAATGGATATCATCTGACTGACAAATCTGGGGCCGAAGGTGTGCTCATTTTACCTCCCCCCCCCCCCCCCCCCCCCCCCCACTCCCCTTCTTCGCTCTTACTAATTTCTCATTATACATCAATTTCCTCTCTTCACTTTCTCACTTATAATTCTCTTCTACTACACTTTNCGCGGGGATGCCCATATGACTGCGACATCGCGTTAAACGATAAACGTCTCGTCCCAATCCCTTACTGTAACATAACGTTGTGGTTTGCAGTCGCATTGTCTGAGATAAGCTGATAAGAACTAGACAGATTTTAAGAGAAAAAGCAGTCTACGCTCTACCTAACCGACAACACTAGAGATGAGTAAAAAAGCAACTAACTACTGCATTTTCCTGCGTATTGATTTGTTGCGTTTTACGGAAAACACCGGTATTGGTATATTTTTTAGACCCTAAATTTAAAAGGATTAAATTAACTGCAAAAACCGTGGACGAAGATCCTGCTAGTTGTAAACGTTGGATCTCTAGAAAAGAGATCAAATCAGCCAAAATATAAAGAACCAAGAACGAGAAGTCCAAAGACTACTGCAAAGCTGATTTAAAACAACGTGTATTGTTTTTTAAGAATTTTTGGAGTAGCATGCCCCCAGACCTCCTAGGTTAGGCCGCCTTCGGCGCTACGACTTTACTTTCCCGCGTGTGTACACCTTCAAAATCTTACGCTTACCCTGGGTACCAGAGGTTTTTCTCGCGCGGGTCACTATAAAGACTTGACAGAAACCGGAAACCGCGCTAGAAAAGTCTCTGGCACCCAGGGTATCTTACGCTACGTCCCTGACAGGGTGTAATAAGGGTGGCAACCTCTGTGAAAAGGGAAAGGCAGCTTGTGGCATTGGTTTACTGCTTCTTGAGTTATAAGAAATAAAGTTGGAAAAGATGTTTTGAAAAATAATCGGAAATTAGAAACAAGACATCTTAAGTAAAATTCTTGGGCTTTAAATTTCTGAACACACGCATATTTTAAGAACCCCAAAGATCGAGTCTGGAATTTATATTTGGCATGTGCGCTCTAGTTTAATTTTTCACCCATGAAATTCTAAGTTAACAAAGAAACGTCGACTGTAATATCATTCTGGGTAATGGGTAAGATTCGATCGTGATTTTATTATTTACCTTTTGGTCCGATTTGGAGAAACGGGCGCTCCCAAATAGACTTCTAGAAATCAGAAGTTATTGATCCAGTCTCGCCGTACTCCCTACCGCAAAGGGAAAAACGGAGGGGTCCAACCTCGTTCCCAGGGTTTTCTCCTACCTGCCCTCTCTCGCTTCGTAGGGCGGGTAGGAGAGAACCCTGGGAACGAGGTTATGAGGGGTCCGGTAGCTGAGAAATCTCTTTGTGTAACAGAATTTATTTTTTCCTTTTCCCCCCTTTTTCCAGTCGACATCTTCTGCCTCAACAGGAAGCCTCAAGGTGGGCCTAGATATATATATTTTTTTCTTGCAAGACACTGCAGTTGACATTCTGGAATCACCCGTCCCATCCCTGAGAAGCAAAATCATGATTCGCTGGTTTCACTTTTATCTAAAGGATACGTCACCAAGTGCTCAGTAACCAGCTCGCTCTCTTGTCTTTTTTAGTTCATTGAACTAGGAAACATGAGCAATCAAAAACCTGAACACCAACATGAAAATCAAGCCTTGACAGACGCTGAAAATCGCATAAAAGAAGCGTGTGAGATCCTTAAGCGAGAAACAAGTAGACTTCGACAGGAGCAAGAATCCATCGATGCGATGTCAAAGAAACTAGACCGGGTTCACTTTTCATCCACTGTTAAACTCAACGTTGGTGGTCAGCACTTCACCACAAGTGTGCAGACGCTGAAAAAAGATCCCAACTCGATGCTTGCCGCCATGTTTTCCGGCAAGTTTGAGATGAAGCCTTCTGAAGACGGTTCTTTCTTTATCGACCGAGATGGAACTTACTTCCGGTTTATACTAAATTATCTTCGTAACGGCGAACTTATCTTGCCAGACGGTGCTACATTCCTCAAGGAACTCGAAGCAGAAGCTAAGTTTTACCAACTTCAAGGGATATTGGACGAACTGAAGCCTAAAGAACCGAAAGTGTTCGAGGAGTCGGTGATAATGACGAACGAAGAGCATTGAAGGGTCTTGAAAAGTTGGTTGCCTGAGGCTATGAGAGGGGAATGGCGTTTGCTATTTCGAGCTTCACGAGATGGCTTTGCTGCTTCAGCGTTCCATTCCAAATGCGACAACAAAGGACCTACAATCACTGTTGTAAAAAGTGGTGAAAACATTTTTGGAGGCTTCACTGAGAAGGCTTGGACAAGTAAATATAAGAAATTGATATGATTAGCTTTATCGAGTAATTAACTCACGCCTGATGAATGGTTGAGAACTTTAATTCAAATTTTATGCATGTCGTATACAGCTTACCTTATTTACTTTACTTGTCTTTGCTTGCTGTGTGGTTATTTTCCCAATCCATTGTGATTTAAGTGATTTACTTTAACCCCAAGTTTCCACTGAATGGATCTGGAAAATAACCACACAGCAAACAAAGACAAGTAAAGAAAATGAGGTACGCAGTATTTTATTGACAATTCTAGTGAGTATTTATCTACTTGAATCTTTTACCTGAATTCCCATGATCCTTTATATTCACGGACTTAAACTCTCATACTGAGCCTGGGCCGCCTGTGACTCATTGAACCAGGGTATTAAAGTCCATCAGCAGGATATTGGCAACTTCTTTATAGGTCGCTTTGACTTATTTCTACGTTTCTCAGGGGAAAGCTTTTCTGTAGAATTGAAAAAAACAAGATATTGTTGATGGCCTCAGGCCGAAATTTCATATTCTATGCAAAGGAAAAGGTCTGGTTAGTTATCTGCATAGGCAACCGAGCTCAATATATATAGGTTCAGGATCAAAGACGTGGAATGGGGCAGAAAATGTTTGAAAGGTTTAGATTTAAAGAACTTTGAATCTGAAATGTAAAAATGACTGTTTGACACATAATATCTGAATTTATATGTCAGGTGTAATCACTGTTATTCACAGGTGGTGGTGTATGGGTATCATGTCGTCATGCCTTCCTGTTCAGCTTTGTAAACCCAAGTGACCTGGGACCAACCAAACTGTCACTCATCCCTGGGAATGAAAGGTATGGAATCCTTTGTGAGAGCAGATATGGACCACTGTTTGGTGGTGGGAATGACATAAACATATCAAATGATGCAAACATAATTTATAGTAGCAGCAATCTCGGCAACACCTATCAGTGCCCACCAGGACAACAGTACACGTTCTTCACAGGTGAAAATAGTTTCATGGTCACAGATTATGAGGTGTTTGGACTCCGCCAGTGACAACTACCAACAAAGCAGGTGAAATAAACACTTACAGCTAAAATACTCCATGCTTTTTCCAAACGTTATAACATAAAGCTATTTTTAAAATGCCTCAATAGGGGTGCTAGGTACTCAGGAGGAATATGTTACTTTGATATTGTTCGGCTTTAACTTAAGAGAGGTGCAAAGTGGGGCCAAATCAGAGCCGTAAATGAACTTGGCTTTAGAATTTGTTTTAATAGGAGCCGAATTAAGTATAACTTAAAGGCTCTCATAAAGAAATATTTTCTTTACCTTGACCAGTCTCCCAGAGGGCGACTTTTTGTAGTAAAAAGGTCACCAATCTAACGTTTATGCCTATTACTTAAGGAAAACGTTGACCCTATTCGAGAAGAAGACTCTCGGGACATTTGAACATGTCACTACAGGCGCCATATTTTGTTGTCGTTGTTAAACTGATAAAGAACTATACTGAGATGAATGTGTCAGTTGTTTGGTTCAAGATAGGACTGCATCCCGAGATACTCTAAAAACAACCTTATTATCCGCGTTTCGTTTGACTTTGTGGGACTGAGTCCAAAACCATAGACCATTAATAGCATTTCATAGGTACGGCAAAGCAATTCATCTGGTTTACAGAAAAATTTAAATTTGTCTTTGGTTTCCACTCTGTCCGTAGTGTGGCCACAAAAAGGCGCATCATTTTGTTCTAACTTGTCTTCTATGTGTTTCCTACCAGCTGTACAAGGCCAGTACAAAAGAAATCATAACTGAAAAATCCAGGGCAGTTAATATTTAAATTAGCAACTGTAAACTATCCCTCAGTCTATACGTTTAACTGTCGCTTCACACATACACTTCAAATAAACTCACTATTTTAGCGCAATTACTCACGGGTCTGAGAGTGTCCACGATATTAAGGGGAGTTGACTGTATCTGAATTGAGTTAGCCGGAACAAAACTTGGACGCTAAGCTATAGTTCATGGTAGTCAAGAATGGCATTTTAATCGTACATAATGTTTACCGAATATCTTATGAATACACCCTACATGCTCATCTGATTAGTTTTAGCAGTGATGTCATTCCTCCTTGGAATGGATATACTACAGTGTCCTTCATTAAAGTCACAACGTGTGTTAAATTATGCTTAAAGGTTAATTTGCGCTTACTCGCTTCAAGGTTGGTAGGGGCTTGTCTGACATTTCTAAGAATTTTTTCTTTTTTTATTGCAGATGAACTGTAGTTCATTATAGTATACATGAGCACAAAAGTAGCAGAGGATTAAATATAAGAGCAAATATAAGAGGAGGAGAAGAAAATCCAAGAAATCCTTCCTCGTCGTTTAACAAACAAAGGTGACCCAGCATGTTCACGCCATATGATGTTGTTACTGCTGAGGGTTTCTGAATGCCTGCACACGCTTTTATTCAGAAGAAAGAAAGATGAAAGGAATGATTAAAGCAAGCTCTTTATTCACTGAAAAATTTTGTTGAGGTCTCTTTATTTTAACTTGTACTGCTCTTTGAAACCTTTTTTGACATCCGTCCTAAACTTTCTTTTTTGAATGATAACGAGCTCTTCTGATCAGACGCTTGAATACCGTAAACTATCGCTTATAAGCTCTGGGCTTATAGATCTTTGTAAGGGCTTAAACGAATGGGTTTATCTCCGAGGGAGGTATATAATCAGACTAGGAGAAAAAGCGCTGCGAAACAAGCTATGGCAGTGCTGATTGAAACACCTTTTGCATTTACCGGTTTTTAATCAAGCTTGAAAAAGTCATAATAAATCCAATTCATTCCAACATATTTGGAGGGGGACTAATGTCTGGGGGAAGCGGGGGGGGCGGCTTATGCTCATAATAGGATGTATTTTATGTATACAGGTAGACGGGTCCATAACTGGGGGGGGGGGTTAAGCGCAAACGAAAATTTTCGACATTCTTTAAAAGTTACGAATAATAGATTTGCTGTTTCTCGGCCGTTGTCTAAAACATGAAAATGAGCGTGCATGTTGAGTGGTACTGAAAGCGAAACAATTCGTACGTATAACCTCTTCCTGATTACCAAACCGATGTAAAAAGTTGCGATGTTGCGTTACAGGGGTCACCGTGCTTCTAGCTGTCACGTACCAGATACGAGTCGGTCACAGCGTTTTGGGCATTCCCAATCCCAAATACCTTGCGTTTTGGGCATCCCCTTCTCAGGTTACTGCAGCGCCGATTCCCCGGTACCCTCCCGGGATGCCCAAATCCCTTGTGTTTTGGTCATCCCCTCCAAAAAAACTCTGGATTTCGCGGGAAAATCGAAAACGTTTTAGAGATGGATTCCGCTAAATATAGAAGTCTTTTCCAGTATCTTAAATTAGAAATGAACGAAGCAGGTGTGGCGGCAGGATATTTGTAGTACATGAATTTTTCTAAAAAGCCCTCTTGATATACAGTAAATAAAAATTTTTTTTCATTATTTATAAATAAAAAAGAAGGGAGGTGGTGGGGGGGGGTGTTTTTTTGTCACTCTTTTTTTTTTAAAAAACTCCTTTTTTGTGTGTTGTTTTTTTGTGGGGGGGTGGGGGGGGGGGGGACATGACTTTTCCTTTTTAGCTATCACTGCTTGCAGGATTTTATTTTAGACATGCCTTTCCCTTTCACTGCAGGATTTTTTTGGGGGTAATTGTCACCCCACCTCCGGTTATTTCTGATGGTCCGTGCCGTAGGTGCCGTAGGTTTCTGATGGTCGTGCCGACTTTTCTAGGAAAATCGAAGGGCCTCTGCTCGCAGGGTACGTAGGTGCAAGAGGCCTCTGTAATTGTGTGACAGCCTTTCGTGTGTCAAGTAGCGCTGCGGGGTTAAGTTGTACAAGCCTCAAATGTCATGCATACTATGAATTCGACACCGCGAAACGCAGTTTCATTCATGTTTGTCTTTTGGTTGCTTTGTTTAGTATTCTTGTTTTTGGCTGTTTGGAATCAGACGATCGCAGTTGCCGGCGATTGCGGCAAAGCTCGCTTGTAAACAGTTCTATTAAATAAAATTGAAACTTTGTAAACAATGAAACTTTGTACGGTGAAGCGATGTTATGCGGTTGTAAATTTCAGTTTCGTCATGTTTTGAGCCAACATTTACTGCCTATTGGTTTTTTTTCTCTGCGCAATAAACCCTGCGAAAAGAGTCAGACGATATATATATATATATAAATTCGAGATTGACAATCCCGACTTTTCCCCAGTCTGAAATAAAAGTCGAAGCGATCAGCGTTTTGGGTATCCCCCAACGGGGATACCCAAAACGCTAGGGATATATATATGGGAATGGGGATGCCCAAAACCCGGGGATGCCCATCACTGTGACATCGTAAGAGAGGGATGGGGACGAGTTTACTACCTCTCCCGGCCCGTTATTGTCCTTTGATATTGCCGACGAAACACGTTGCTTCGCAAACGGATTTTGTAGTTTTGGTTTTGTACAGAACCGCTCAGCAATCTAAACCTTAAACACAATTTTTAAGTTTTTTTAGGCCAAACGGTTCCTATATTAGAGAAAGGTACCTGAAACTATAGACTACACTAAGCTACTGAAAGGGTCTTCGATGATTCCACTGAAGACATTGAAGTGATGTCGAATCAGCCGCGTTACTTTCCTTCAATCGTGAAACTTAATGTCGGAGGCCAACACTTTACCACAAGCCTGCAAACGCTAACAAGAGATCCCAACTCGATGCTCGCAGCCATGTTTTCAGGCAGGCATGAGCTAGAGACTACTGAAGACCCAAGGAAGAAATAGCTGGCTCTACCTTGAATGAAGGCGAAATATGATTTAATAGAAGCATTGCCTCTTGAATAGAACGGTCTACCACGATGTAAGGAGTTCCTTGAGCTTCGTCTTCGATTGTTTTATCAGCTGCAAGGGATATTGGACGAACTGCAGCGTACAGCACCGAAAGAGTTTGAGGAGTCGGTGATACTGACAAACGAATGGCATCGAAGAGTCTTGAAAACTTGGTTGCCTATAAAAAGGGAATGGCGTTTGCTATTCCGAGCTTCACGAGATGGCTTTGCTGCTTTAGCGTTTCATTTCAAATGCGACAACAAAGGACCTACAATCACTGTTGTAAAAAGTGGTGGAAACATTTTTGGAGGCTTCGCTGAGAACGCTTGGACAAGTAAGATAAATTGATATCGATGATTCTAAATACAAATTAGCTTTATCGAGTAACTCACTCCTAAAGAATGGTTAAGAACTTTAGTTCAAATTTTATGCATGTGGTATAGCCCGTGTGACAGGCATTTGAAAAAGAATGGAAAGTGGCGCAACCCTTCAAACGCCGCAAGCTCGGCTTTCACGCTGGCTACACTCGCGTCCTATAACTTCTATGATCGTCGTTTTATGATACATTTGTCTATGCATTAATCACCCTTGTTAATTTTTTTTCTAATTTTTAATCATTATTTCCTCTTTATTCTGAAGGCTTACACACTGCCTGTAACTTCTTTACAGGTTGATTTAACTTATTTCTACGTTTCTCAGGGGAAAACTTTTTGGTAGAATTAAAAAAGATGTTGTCGATGGCCTCAGACCGAAATTTCGTATTCTATGCAAAGGAGCAGGTCTGGTTCGTTATCTGCGTGGGCAACCGAGCTCAATATAGGTTCAGGATCAAAGAAGTGGAATGGGGCAGAAAATGTTTGAATGGTTTAGATTTAAAGAACTTTAAATTCTAAATGTGAAAATAACTGTTTGACACATGTAATGTCTAAATATATATATGTCAGGTGTAATCACTGTTATTCACAGGTCGTGGTGAATGGGTGTCATGTCGCCATGCCTTTCTGTTCAGCTTTGTAAACCCAAGTGGCCTGGGACCAACCAAATTTCCGCTCATCACTGGTTATGAAGGACATGGCATCTATTGTCATCGCAGCTATGGACCAGCGTTTGGCAGGAATGGTGGGTTTGGTGGTGAGCATGACCTATGTATATCAGATAATGCAAACACAAGTGCTAGTAACAGCTGTCTCGGCAACTCTTATCAGTTCCCACCAGGACAACAGAACACGTTCTGCACAGGTGATAATAATTTCACCGTTACAGATTACGAGGTGTTTGGACTCCGCCAGTGACAACTACCAAGCAGGTGAAATAAACTATTACAGCTAAAATACTGCATGATTTTTCCAAACGTTATAACATAAAGGTATTTAATGCCTCATTAGGGGTGCTAGGTACTCCCGAACAATATGTTTCTTTGATATTGTTCGGCTTTAAATTTAAGAGAGGTGCAAAGTGGGGCCAAATTAGAGCCGTAAATGAACTTGGCTTAATTTTTTTAAAATAGGAGCCCATTTAAGTATAACTTGAAGCATCTCAGAAAGAAATATTTTCTTTACCTTGACTAGTCTCCTAGAGTGCGACTTTTTGTAGTAAAAACCACACCAATCTAGAGTCTATCCCTGTTACTTCTTGAAAGCGTTGACCGTCTTCGTGAAGAAGACTCTCGGGACATTTGACCATGTCACTACAGGCGCTGTGTTTTGCTGTCGTTGTTAAACTGATAAAACAAATATAAGATGAATGTGTCATCCCGAGATGATCTATTTTAAAAAGAACCTTATTATCCGCTTTTCGTTTGGCATTGTGACCGAATGAGTCCAAAACCTATGTTAGGCCATTAATAGCATTTCATAGGCACGGCAAAGTAATTTATCTAGTTTACGGGAAATTGAATTTGCCTTTGATCTCCACTCTTTCCGTAGTGTAGCCTCAAGAACGCGCATCATTTTGTTACTGACTTGCCTTGTATCTGTTTCCTTCCAGCTGTACAAGGCCAGAACAAAAGAAATGCTAAAAAACTCCAGGGCAATTAATATTTAAATTAGCAAAACTGTTCCTCAGTATATACACCTAACTCGCTTCACACATACACCTCAAATAAACGCACTATTAAGCGCATTTTTTCACGGGTCTGAGAGTGTGCGCAATATTAAGGGGAGGTGGCTGTATCTGCACTGAGTAAGCTGGAACAATACTTGTACGCTAGGCTGTATAAATAAATGGTAGTCAAGAATGGCAATTTAATCGTATATAATACTTACCGAATATCTTATGAATACATCCTATATACTAATCTCTGTTTCAGTTAGTTTCAGACATGATGCCATTCTTCCTGGAAATGGATATAATACAGTGTCCTTCATTAACCTCATAAAGTCTGTTAAATTATGCTTAAAGGTTAATTTGCGCATTCTCGCTACAAGGTCAGAAGGGGCTTGTTTGACTTTTCTAAATATTTGTCTTCTTTTTTATTGCAGATGAACTTCAGTTCATCAGTGTACATGAGCATGAAAGTAATAGTGGATTATATATAAGAGCCACTATCACTATTTTCTTTTACAGGCACATGGCCCCTTTGGTTGTTAGTATGATGACGATCTAGACTGAATAACTGAGATCCAGTGAGTTCTTAGAGTTTCGAACTGATCATATGATAATTTAGTCTCGTGACTCAATAGTTCCTGTATGATCTAGCATCGGCCTAAAGCACAGCCTAAGATTGGGATTTCAGCCTTCAGATATGGAAGTCAGTCTGTTCTTAATTATATCATGATAACTGAATTTTTTTTTGTTCTAGGGTATGTATACCTTATTCAAAAATCTTAATTTAACGCGGGAACCTCAATAAAGGCAAGTCATTTAAAGAAGTTGAAAATGAACCACTCAGGAGCTTGTTATTTGGGCGTCGTCCAAAAATTGCAATAGGCACGCAATACGTGCAAACGTAAACAAGCCAAGCGACGCGACTGTCTGCCGCGCGATGTGTCACTACACAGCATTTATTCTCGTCACAATAAGTCCCACAGCTAACGCACGGCAAACAAATCGGCAATAGAAATCAATCGTACTGAAAAAACAAGGTACACCAAGTGAAATAAACTATTAAATATTTTAAATTTCCCCCTTGGACAATAATTGTCCTCGCAACACGCGGCGTGAATATCTTTACCCCGGATCATAGGTACCGGTCATTACCCATTTTTATTGTGCAGACTATATGGCTTATTCCCAGGAGTATGACAATAATATTGCCCTCAGTTGTCGAAAAATAAAAAAAACTGTTCGTCAGTCTATACACTAAACTCTCGCCTCACGAACACCTAAAGTAGTTTCAGACATGATGTCATTCTTCCCTTACCCTACTGGTTACCAGATTCTGCGGGAATCTTCGGTGTCGGCCGAAGGTCGAAGCCACCAGTGGCGAAGCTTTTCGCGCACGTCACCATAAAGATTTGACAAAGACCAGAAACCGCGCAAGAAAAGTCTCTGGCACCCAGGGTATTCTTCCTTGAAATGGATAATACTACAGTGTCCTTCATTGATAACCTCATAAAATCTGTTAAAATTTGCTTTAAGGTAGTATGCTTACTCGCTACAAGGTAGGTACGATATTATGATCTCTTGGAAGGTAACGGCGTTTTTGAGGCTATGTTCACTCTATTCCGGATAGCTTTTCGTGGGTGGTATGGTATGAAGAGCAAATGACCCGGGGCGGCTGAAGTCGTTCACACACATCGAACATCGTGCCAACGCGATTGGCCGAGAGGGCTTGGTGAACTAAATCCCAGTCCTCGGGCTTTCCACAAGTTGCTCGAAATTTCCTAAGATGTTTCCCGTAATTTCTCAAAAAGTTGCGCAAAAGTTGCTCAAAAAAACGAAACCTTTTTTCGCTGCTCTCTTCCTTTATTTAGTCTGATGCAAAAATACGTAAATTTTACAACAAAAGTAAGATTTCTAAGCATTTCTGTGCAACTTTGCAGCGTAATCAGGAGCCCATAACCCACAATTAAAACTAAAAAATTTATGAGTTAGACGACTACGCATCAATATTGAAATTAATCTTGTAAAAATTCTAGTTTGAGCCAATAAAATTGATGTCAGAATGACCTTCTTCACCTCACCTGAGACACTTGTATCAGTCGAGCGAGAATCTTTGTCCTCCATTTTAAATTTTCTTCCAAAACAACCGCTGACTTAGCAGCCTGGCTGCATGCATTTTGCGCTCGTGAATCTGCCCCAGCGGGGTGCGGGGAGGGGAGGATCTGGCCGTCCTTTTTCACAGGAAATTCATAAATTGTCTACTAAAACATTGTGAAATATGGAACTTGTGGAAAGCCCCACCCAGCCCTCACTCCTGGATACTTTCTTCCGTCTCAGTGGGTTCCAGTCCTCGGTCCCACTTATTTACTTCCGCGACGGGCCGAATAGGTGATCACACTGCACCAAAGTATGGCACAACACCTATCCGATATGTGACGCTCCTCTTTCTAGGTCGGCGCGTCGCACAATATCTAATTTCTAATTATTTCTTATTATTTAATTTCTCCTCTCCTTAAATAAGGCGAATATTGTCTATTTTCTCTACTTCCATATGGTTGTTAAAGAGTCCTCATATTTTACGTCAGTAGCTGGGAATTGTTATCATCTGACTGACAAACCTGAGGCAGACGTGTGCTCATTTTACCCCTCCCCCTCCATCATTGCTCCTTCGTATGGGTATTTACTTACTCACTTAGGGCTTAACATTTTCTACTTATGTTTTGGGCGAACGTTTATTGCCTCTGGGTTTCTTTTTGCGTAATAAACCCGGCAAAAGTGTCGGACGATATGATTCTATCATATATCTACACTACTTCAGCGGTAAATTTGTGATTGGCATCCCAACTTTCGCCCCAGTCTGAGGTACTTGAAGCCACGTTGAGGTAATCAGGGTTTTGGGTGTCCCTACCGGG